AGTATACCAGTTTGTAGAAAATTGTTTGCTCTACAAGATGTGATAGCTTGTCAAGTTCGAAACTATTCTAATTAATCTGTATTGATCAAGAGAAAACAGAAAAACGGTAATGCTGTGACACTTTTGACCGTTTTTTTGGGTTGTTTGTACAACGGCTGTATTTTCATAACGAATCAATGTTCAGAGCCGAGATACTTTTCATTTTGCAGAGAAATGTTTAATCTACTTAATTATCTAGCTGCCATTTAGATTAGTTTGTAGCTTTATTGGAATAACTTTGTGAAAAAGAGCAAAAAATGGAGGCCGTTAGCTGGACAAGCCGCTTATCTCTTTCTCAATGTTATGTGTACATTGAAATACATCTTTTTTCTTTATATATTTTATTCATGAGTTGCGATAGAGATGAATCTTAAAATGAGCTTAAATAATTTTCATTTCTGCAGATGAGGAACGAAAAGTTCAATAGACTTATACTTTAAAAGAAACACAAAAAAGAGAATGAATGATGGGCGAACACATAACATCAGTCTTCCTATATTTCATCTATTATACCTCCTTATTTGAACGTCTGAATATGTCGATATATATATAAAAGCCAAAATTGAACGTTACACATCTTTCATTTTTGTTAAAAGAAAGTAAGTTCGATAGAACTCGTCTACACTCTGACACTACCACAAGATTCAAAAAGTTCAATCTAACGAAAAACATTTCATCACCGAAGTTCTACCATTGTGAACTCTTTCAGGCTTTCGTTAAGGAAACAAGGCCGTTAGCTTTCCGTGCTATTTTAGAATGTCGAAATTCGAAGAACTACCACTTGAGATAATTTTAGACATATTTCTACAATTGGAGTCGTCGACTCTTTATCATTCCTTTTTTAATCAAAATCAACGACTAAATAATATCATTGGTCTTTATTATGCAAAAATTGAGTTATCTTTTACTACAAATACGATGTTCAATTTTTATTGTAAAACTATTCTTGGTCATATGATTAGCCCTCAACGACGAATTGTTTCGTTAAGTTTGACAAGTAAACATAATCGTTTTAAACAATTTCACTCGCTATTTAATCTTGAAGAATTTACAAATATTAAAGAATTACGTCTCATTAGTTTATCAGCAAATGATGCTAAAGAACTGTTAGATATTATACCAAAACTACAATGTAATTTGACATCATTGAAAATTATATTTTCGGTAGGTCAAGAACGGTTTTATGGTCAAAAATTACGTGAAATGATATTATGTGGTCAGACAATGTCATCATTAAAAAGATGTGTTTTAACATTTTATGATAATTTTGTTCAAAAACTTAGTAATAGTTCAACATCAAACATTGAATATTTAGACATTGGTAATATATTAATTCAAGATTTAATAAAATTATTTCAGTATCTACCAAAACTAAGACGGTTATATGCCTTTTCAGAGACACATTTTCGTCATTATCCAGTGTATTCTGAGCATTTAATACCGTTTGTATTATTACCAGCGTTGACATGTTTAAAATTAAGTTATTTTGTTGGTTTATCGAATATTGAAATCTTGCTAAAACACATTCCAAATTTAAAATATCTGAAAGTCACAGTATACGACAGAGAACTTGTCAGTGGTTTAAGGTGGGAACAAATGATAAATCAATATTTACCATTATTACGTCGGTTCATATTAAGACTTACAGTACTCGAATATAAACAGGAAGTACTACTTGATATAATATTAAAGAATTACGTCTCATTAGTTTATCATCGAATGATGCTACCAATAACCAAATAATTTTCTGTACCGTCAATGGACTGTTTACTTTCAGTTAGAGCATGTGACTACTTAAAGGTATTAAGTTACTTTGGGCTTCTCTTCTGCTTCTAACTGCATATAAATGAATAAAATCCAATAAGTAGACTAAAAAGAACGATCATGTCAAATTATCATCCAGTACGTCTGCACTGAATGAAAAAAAGACAGCAAATGCAGATAGACAATTCCGCTGTAAACTGTTACGCTAGAAAAGCTAATATTTTCTTTGTGCTTTGATGGTATAGAGATGCAAGCAGGAAATTGCGACAGTTTTAGTCACTAAAAATTGATTATGTGATTAATTACTTATTGTTTCTTTCACACTGAATAAGCAGCTTCTTTTAATCCGTATTTGGTAAATACGCATGGGTATAACAGGTGCATATGTTTTTTCTGATTTTCTAATGTAATAGAAACTATTAGATGTGAGCTTATACAAAGAACGTCTAATACAAAGAAGAGGAATTTGAAGTGATAGCAGAACAGTGAGGATGCATAGCTATTTTATTCTCCAAATCACATTTCGAAACAAAGTTTATAGTTTACATTAAATCACGTACTAAAACGCGAGAATATGAATAAGAAAATACAGTAAGTGATAACAAGGTTGTTCCGCAAGAACAAAAGACGTAACGTAGAAATATACTAGTTAAAGAAACTGAAATTTGTTTTATATACTGGCAGCACAACAATACTGCAGTAGAAACATGAAGCGATACGAACCTGCAGGGTTCAAACAAATGCCAGACCAACAACAATGTGATTTGGTAAGTAATTATCGACAAGTCCTGCATGTTAGTAATGAGTATACAATTGTGCGTAATCTAATTATTTTCATTTAGATTGATGAAAGTAATGAAGCTAGTAAAATTCTGGAGGAGAGAAAAACAACAGCTCTTGACGAGAACCTCGATTTAGCATACGACGTAGCAGATCTCCAGGCATATTACTCTCATGCCACGACTGCCGACATGATGAGTACGTAAAACCATCGTTTAAATTTTGTTGCCTGCTCAAAATTGTTCGATCAAGATACATTGCATGATATTCGAAATGAATAATTAGGGACGTGTATAAAGATACGGTAATGTACTAGACAAACAATACATTCTACTACGGTCTAATCATTAGATTAAAATGCAGAAGATGTCCATTGCGTCCATGTCCATGCGTTCTGTTTCTTCTTTTGTTGTGTTAGAAATGAAAGAGAAATGCAGCAGCAATATCTGTTAGAAATATGAGGAAAGAAAAGCACAATACTCCCTAATTTAGCAACAAATCTGCATAAACAAGGAAATAAGTCGATCAAAAACAGATCGGTAAAGTTGTTTCTTTTTAAGAAAAATGAAGATCAGAGAAAAATTTCTCTAATCGACAATGGTATGAGCTTACTCTAAAGACAAGATTGAGAGCAACAGCCTACGAAAACATCTAAGCTTGAAAGGTTCCTTAATAGGGAGATATAAATTTGCTAACCTTTAGAGAGAATAAAAACAGGTAGAGAGAAAATGATCGTCATTTTTTACATTACATTAATAAGACATTCATAAACTACCACCGAAATTAATCAGCAACCTGAATTCAACAAATCAACAAATTCTGCCCTAATTTCGAAAAAGGATGTCGGTTCTCCGAAAGTTAGCACAAATATTCATTTGCTGATTATTATAATGGCTTGAATGTGTCACCTGGTACTTTCTAATTTTCGTTCTATTTACATTTAGTGCTTTTTACAAAGAAACTAATGAAATCGGCACTATTTCGATGCTACTTCTGTTGCAAAAGATTTTCTGGACAAACATCGCAAAAAGATTCTCGCGTATCGTCATAGTAATGAGCAAGAATATAAGACTACAAGACCAGTAATGGACATCTTCTACATTCTAATCTAATGATTAGACCGTAGTAGAATGTATTGTTTGTCTAGTACACTACCGTATCTTTAATTATCATATTTATTTAGTTTTACAACCGCTTAACAGTTACTAGAGACTCAACCAGAATTCATTTCTGAAAGAATCAAAAGAAGATACCACGACCGGTTTCGACCTTTCTCGAGGGTCTCGTCAGGTGGTTTCCTTCGAGAAAGACAGAGTTAAGGCCCC